ATGCTCAGAACCTGCAGGATCTTCTGGGGTCAAGGGCTGGGACGTGCAGGAGAAACCACCTTGGGAAGCGTGGAGCTCACAGCCTCTCCTCCACCACATCATAGTACTCTACGGAGAGAAAAGGGGAGCTGGAGGGTGTGCAATGGTCACCTCCAGGATCCGATGGATGGATGGAGGGAATGGGGAGGGCTCAGCCTTTGACCGGGAGCTGCCCGGTTGAGGGTAAGATGTTCCTCATTGAGGGACATGGGGAGAACAGAGAGAAAAGGGGAGTTAGAAGATGTGCAATGGCCACCTCCAGGATCCGATGGATGGAGGGAGTGGCTCAGCCTTTGACCAGGGGCTGCCTGGTTGAGGCTTGCTTGATGGCAAGATGTTCTTCATTGAGGGACATGGGGAGAACGTGTCCTTACCCGATGCTGGTGGGATGTTGGCTCCCACGGTCCCCGTGGCGCTGGGGGGTGGAGGAGGAGGGACCGCACTGCTGGAGAGGAGCGAGAACAGGAGTAAACGCCAGCCTGGCATTGCCCCTTGTGTCCCAGCTTGGGCTGGACGTCCCATTACACCAGGGGCTCCAGGGACACGCATGCAGCCCCGCAGCACCCTCGTTACTCACACCTCCCCATCCTCAGCTAACGAGCTCGTGCCCAGGTACCGCACGGCCGCTGGTCTCCGATCCTGTGCTGGGACCGGCCATGCCAGGAGGGGAGTGGGACTGGGGTAGGGGATGTAGTGATGGTGGAACACCACAGCCTCCTCTTCCTCTCCGGTCTGCAAAGGTACCGCCATCGCCTGCGGGGAGGGACAAAAGGCAGTGCTGTCACCTTTGGCAGCCATCTCCCTGGGGCACCACTCCCCAAAACACCAGCCAGACAGTTCCCACAGAGCCGCACTTGCCTACGATGCCACCGGCACGGCTCTGCCAGGGTCTGGCTGGGTGGGCTCGAACCCACACGAAACCCCCCAGTGAGCCAGCGTGGGAACCCGGCTGCTGGGGACATGGGGAGGTGGCAGCCCCACAGCCGGGACCTCAAAATGCTGCTGGGAAGAGCCCGTTTGATCCAGACGCTGGGATGTGACAGGCAGGGTCCAGTCTTGGGTGAACTGGTGGGCGCTGGGTGGGCAGCACAGGAGGGGACGTGCCTGGAGACACCAGCTGGAAGCGAGCAAAGCAGCAACCCGCAGCCCAGCTCTCACCCCCGCCAAGAAAGCAGCACTGGTTTCTCCCCACGGAGATGAAATGTTTAATATGATTTGGTGGCTCCCCAGTTCAAGAAAGACAGGGAACTGCTGGAGAGGGTCCAGCAAAGGGCAACGAAGATGATTAGGGGACTGGAGCACCTTTCTTAGCCCCACAGCCGGGACCTCAAAATGCTGCTGGGAAGAGCCCGTTTGATCCAGACGCTGGGATGTGACAGGCAGGGTCCAGTCTTGGGTGAACTGGTGGGCGCTGGGTGGGCAGCACAGGAGGGGACGTGCCTGGAGACACCAGCCGGAAGCGAGCAAAGCAGCAGCCCGCAGCCCAGCTCTCACCCCCGCCAAGAAAGCAGCACTGGTTTCTCCCCACGGAGATGAAATGTTTAATATGATTTGGGTTCGAGATGGACTTTTAAATGAAAGCCCTCGCAGAGCCATTCTGCCTAATGAATAGTGCTCGGCCTCACTGCTCGGCCGCCGCAGCCCAGCACTGCACCCTGCCCGCGCTGCAGCACGCAGGGAGGGTCCTGGCTCTTCCCAGCTTGGAAAAATCACCTCCTAGCAGCCTGGATGCGATCTGTGCTGGCAGAGCTGGGGGTCAAACCAGCACAAAGAGCCTCAAAACCCCAAGGGGCTGCAGAGCCTGGAGTGAGATGGGCTGAGACCACCCAGCTTCCCCGCCCGGAGGGGTCCCACGCTGTGCCAAAGCAGGACATGGGCATCCTGCTGTCCTAAGCAGCTCTGGGAAGGTCCCTTTGCCCACCTCTTTGGTCCTTTTGGTCCTTTGGTCCTACAGTCCCTTTGACCATCCAGCGTCCCTGACCCTTACCTGGGCAGCAGCCGGGGATGGCCCGAACCCAAAGGATGTCAGTGCCGACACAGCCAGGCTGTTCATCACCACCTGGTGCATTTGGGAGTTTTGAATCATCATCAACTTGATTAAATCTGCCAGAGAGTAAGGGGCTCTGCATCAGAGAGAGATCAGAGCAAGGGCACGAGAAACACGGCCATGGGATGAATGCGTGGGATGGGATGGGGCGGCACCAAGGCTTGTCCCTGTGCCCAAGTGGTGGGAGCTAAGCCAGGCTCCCCCCCCCTCTCCCATTTTGGAAGGCCCATGTGGCATTTAAAAATTATTTTGCTTGGATAAAGCTTTAAAATAGCCATATTCCAGCCTTTTCTTATTTGCAAATGTGATTAAACATCTGCTCTGGCTTGCTGAAGGCTGCTCACAAAAGGTGATTAGCGGTGCTGGAGGCATCAGACTTTCCACCCATTCGGAGGAGAATTGCTGTGGTCCTGGCAGCGCTCAGCGGCTTGGCACGCCTCTGCCTTGGCGCCAGGCGGCAGAGCCGGTGTCCTCGGGGTGGCACCGCGTGGGGACCACACCAGGGTCAGCTCCGCTTCGCACCGCGTCGTGCATGGGGTGGCTCAGAAACCCTCCCAAGGAGGCAGGAGCTGGGGCTGGGACCCATCTCCATTCCCAGGAGCTGGGTCCAGCAGAGGAGCAGGCTGGGGATGCTCGGTGCCTCCCCAGCCCCTGCCTGGCCCCGCAGGAGGCGCTGGGACCCGGAGCGGCCGTGCACGT